TGTTGGACCAATCTTGACATTCAGTAATAGTTAGGGGGTTTATTTTGTAATTATGTTGAAGTCTTTATTTGTTAATAATTAGGGTAGAGTCAGTCATAATTTTAGGAGATATATCTCAGATGGATTTGAGATTATCATAGCTTGTAGGAGTAGGAGATGTTATGCTTGGAGAGCAAGGCTGATGATTTAACTTGGTGGACAAGGTTAACTCATCTATAAATAGGGATAGTTTCTCTGTATTTTATGTATTCAAAGTTTTTCAATTAATTGGAGAAGGATTTCCAATAAGTTCTTGTTCTAGATTTTTGTTTTCTGTTTATCGAGATCTGGTACCAATAACTTCACTAACATCTTGATATATGATGATGATGATAATGATTACTCTGTATTTCACAATATTTTTGTGCTTTAAATTTTGCAGAATCGACAATCTCATGGCTATAGACACTCAAGGGGAAGAAGTGAGGTGACATTGAGTTCTCCCACAAAAAATGACAAGAAAACAACACGCGAAGATGCACTTGTGCTTCAGAGTAGCTTACCATGAAGAGATGCCACAATCTAATGCGTGCTTGTTAGACACACTAGAAAACCATGCCAACAGCTTGCTCAGTGTTGTACGATATGAGTGATAATATATGGTCTTTTCCGGTTCTATAGCGTGTTGTGTATGTAGATTGATTGTGAATATCATAGCTAGGATCTATAATACATATCACTTCACATTTCTGCTTCCCTGCATATCATTTTTCCTTAACAGTAGTTTAGAACAAATTGAAGAAGCCCTTTGCATCTTTTCATATTTCTGTTTTGTACCAAGTCTTTGCATCATATCTTTTGCACTAGCCTTTTCATAATTCCATTCCAAAATTACGATGTTGATTTGTTGTCTGTGAAGTGGGCCATGTTTGGTGTACAACAATGTATCCACCAAATGCCAGTGAATGTTTGTGCTAAATATATAAGGGTCATGCTAGGGTACACCAAATGTTGTACCTCATTTTAACACAAAGCAAACACAAATACTAAATGTCTGTGATCACAGATACTTAATGTCTGTGTTTGCCAGGTGTACAAATGGAGCACTCCATTTTGGTGAACCCATAGCTTTTCCCAATATATTTGTAAAATGCACTACGAGCGTAGTAAAATGCACCATTAGCGAATAAAAATGCACAATTCTCATTTTCTCTCTACAACGTTCATTATATATATATATATATATATATATATATATATATATATATATATATATATATATATATATATATATATATATATATATATATATAAAATACTTTATGGTAAAATGACATCTTACGGTCAATGGGTTCTTCAACAGTCTTCTTTTGTGATTTCTTCCACAGATCCGAGCAATGGGCTCTTTGACAGTCTTCTTCTTGTATTCGAGCAACGTGTCTGAATTTTTTCTTCCACAAATCAGAGCAATGTGTTTCGTTATTGACAGATTCGAGTAGCACATGAGCTGTGCTGCAATTATTCCTACGATCGTTTCTCATATGTCTGTCAAGATGGTAGAGACTATCAAGATTGGATGTGGGACAAAAATCTGAGGCGGCAGGTAGCTGGTGGAAATCAGAGATGACGAACAATTGGAAACAGGGGCAGTTGTGGGATACCGGGGTAGCCTAGGGGTAATTGTGTCACTTTACTCATCATCTTGGTATATGTGCCAAATTGAAAGTGGACAAAAACTAGCGGACGGAGGAAGTAAGACATACTACGTAGTAAATTCACAAATAGAAGAGTCATAAAATATATAAATTTGTTATTTCTGAATTTAAATTAATTTTTTTTATTATTTGAGACTATTTTATTCTTTAGTGAACTCACAAAAGAAATGTTTATATAATTTTTTTGATTTAAAGTGAATTCCCAAATTGTTTTTCTAATAAGGTGTTATACCAAATTAATTCAGAATAAGCAATAATTACCAGCGTGGTTTTCTGTAATAGAGATGTATTCCCTAAATACTTTTCTACCAAAAATTCCTATTAAATGTTAGTCAAATAGAAACTATTTTGGTAGTTTTTATCATCTAGACCTAAAGTATATTCTCGAAATGCTTTTTATAGTTAAATATTTTTCCAAATGGATAATTTCTAAGTAAATGTTTTTCTAAATGAAGTCTACGAGCCTACTTGGCTGGGTTCGTTCCTCTAGCAGCCATTCACTTAATTTAAAAGGATCATTTTGAGAACCTATTCATATTTTAAATAATGTAAAATACAAAAATACTCTTCATTTATTAGTCATTTAATAAACCTTTTTGACAGATGACTATATAGAGAATACATCTCAATTACAAAGAACCATATTAGTAATTACTCTCTCTGTCCCAAAAAGTCTTTCCTGTTTCATTTTTGCCGCATCTCATTAAACACTTCTACCGACATCTAAAATGTCTAAAATTTACAATATTTCTTCTTTATTGTGGGTAAAAGCTATTTTGAAAGTTTTTTGGCATTCAAGGCGGGATAGAAGTATTTTATGGGATGCGTAAAAAATGAAACAGGAAAGACTTTTTGGGACGGAGGGAGTATTGTTTATTGAGAACTAATTTTACAAAGGATCGTTTTGAATATTTACTCTTTGATTTATTTCTATTTATGAACATATTCTAGATTTCTGGTAGATGTAAAGAATTGAAGGGGGATGTCATATAATATACAGGGCCGGCTCAAGCCAAGTGTAAAATGGATACTTGGACAAGGCCCAATTGTCGAGAGGGGCCCAATTGATTTTTGAAATATATTATATATATTTATTTATTATTTAATTATTTATATTACACTTTCCATCTTAACTTAAATCAACTGTTATTGTTTATAATGTTTTATTTTAATTATTTTCAATTCATTTTATTTGAAAATTGGTGTAGAATTAAAAAATAAAATTTACATATTTAAAAATTATATCAAAAGTGTAATATCAACCCATTTGCTCTCAAGAATGCTAAAAAATTTTTACCAATCTTTTGCTAGCTATTAAGGTATGTAATTATAGATTTATAAGACTGTGAATTTGACTTTTTATTATTCTTATTACTATTGTACAGAGTAATTTTTATTATTGTTAAAAAATACGTTTTTTGTCCCTAAATTATTTACTTTTTATGCAAAACGGAGTAAAATCTTAAAGCTTTTAATTCATTTTATTTAAGGATTGATATATAAATAAATAATAAAGTTAACATATTTAAAAAGCACATCAAACATTCTACAAAACAATATTCCGTACGTAACAAGAATATTTTATTTCATCAAATGATCAATGAAAACACACAAATAAATAAAATTTCTCACGATTTTTGAATATTAAAGTGTGTAAATCATTTAGCGGAAGAACATAATTTATAGATTTTGTTTTAGTATGACACAATTACCTATTTTCTCGGTTTTGTCCAAGACTCCTAATTTCTCGGAGAGAGCCCTGATAATATATCACATCTTGGTCAAAGTTTAGAATATGAAGTTTTAGTCATATCCATCACCCCGCGATCCTCCGAATCCAAGCAACATGCCGCTACAATATGGGTTGATTAACAATTGTTGGCTTATAGTGTATCCCCTCGATTCCCCGTATCTCATTGAACTGATGCACAATCAATTTACCATCATTTAAATAATATAATCCCTATTCACACTTGATGTAGAAACATATTAAAAGATTAAATTCAATTGATTATTTAGTTTAATTCAAGAATTTATAGACTGATTTATTTTTCTTTTCACATTCCGATGTGAGATACTCTTTAACACTCCCCTTAAGTAGACTGTTATTAAAAAAGTAAAGTTAGTTTGACCTATGAATAGTAATTAGAAGTTTTTTTAGGACGGATGGAGTATATTCTAAAATTATACTACGTATTACGTTCATTTCAGAGTATTTGTCTAATATTGACTTCTTACTCCGATGAATGTTTGAAATTATATTTTGAAATAGTTGTTTGAAATTCTTTTTAAGTATGAGCTGTGTTTGGATGCCAATTTAGTAGCAACACAGTTCGCTAGTCCATGTATTCGAATTATGCGGGTTGAGATGTTAAAAACAGCTATCACAACAAGCCGGTCAAAATAGCTAACTCTACCAGCCGTTTAAACCAGGCAATACAAACACCTCACAACCAACCGCTAATTACCAAACAAGGCCATAGCCATCCTTGCGCATTGGGTCATGATAAACCGTGTTAATTTTATGAGATGTCCCCAGAGGGAGAGATTATACTTATACTCGTTACAGCATATGAATGGAGTATGTATTTGATCGCTAAAAGAACTTGAAGTTTAGAATTTTTAATTTAATTTTGTTTTATGATTGGAATAACAATAAAATTTGTATGTTTACGAATCATTTGTAAATTTATAAGGCAAATTTTTACAAAGCCCTAAAATCCATGCATTTGATAGACCTTAGTTTATTGATATCATAAGGAATTGAGCTTTTTATAAAAAAGAAAAAATTCACTTGCCAGCCTATAAAAGGTGTGAAGAGAGAAAGGAAATATATCTTGATATAGAAAAGACTAAAGTAGGAATAAAACATTAAAAATCTACTAAAATAAATGTTCCATATTTTTATTCTTGAAATAAGAGTTAAAACACATTTATATTATCAATCATTACCATGTATGGTGTCACATTATCACAGTGCGAACTTCTATTTAGAAAACAAAAACATGTAACACTTATTTTGATACTTTTTTATGTTTTAATCATATTTAGAGTAATTTATTTAACCTAACTTTAACAATTAAATTTAATAATTGTACTCGCATATTTTAACACTTCGTACGTACTCCCTTGGTTTCTAAAACTCATTCTTTTTGTTGTGTCTCAAAATCTCGTATTTCTATTAAAAAAATTCATTTTTACCACTATTAATTCAAACTCTAACTATCATATCATATTTTTTTACTAATATTGTATCTGTAAAATTTAGAGTAAAACTGATCTAGTTTTACTAATCACAAGCAAGTGTATATATACAAGTACAAGCGGGCTTAGGGTTACAAGTGGACCCGATAAACTAATTACAGTCCAAAATTACAAATACCCGCTAACACACCCCCTCAAGTTGGTGCATGAAGATCCTGAATGCCCAACTTGCACAATAAAAAATCAAAACTAGGTTTGCCCAACGGCTTGGTAAAAATATCGGCCAACTGGTATCGAGTAGGAACATATCGTGTCGACACCTCATGCCGCTGGACACTTTCTCGAACTGTGTGACAATCAACATCCACATGCTTCATTCGTTCATGAAAAACAGGATTAGCTGCAATATATAAAGCGGACTGGTTGTCACAGTATAATCGGGGAGGATATAAAATAGGAACTCCCAAGGCTAGTAAAATTCCTCGCATCCAACGGACTTCCACACAAGCATTTGCCATAGCTCTGTACTCTGCCTCTG